TTTGGAAAGTGTGAAATCAACTAGGAGTTTCCCATATTTTGATTTGAGTCTAGTTAATCACAGCTTCTTCCCACCCCAAACATTCTGTAATCAAATGTTATCTTTCCACACTGAGCAGGTGGAACAGGAAGACAGCTATATATTGGAGGAAAGGGGTACTAAATTACAGTTGATTTTTGCAGCGTGGCTCTTTCTCCCAGGTTTCATTGAAAATGGTAGCCATGCGTACCTCAGCCTTTAGCTGTGTAGATAGGAAATTCTTGGTGTGGGTGTCTGTAAGATGGAGTAAAAGGACAATTGGTACCCATGAATGAACCATAATACCAGATCCCCAATTTTCATTAAATAAAAAGAGCTAGTTCTTATTCTTTCTGCAAGAAGCACTATTATGCCCATTTTGTAAGGAAGGCTGTGTCCAGTATTTTTAGCCACTAAATAAATACTTCTAGCAATTTTTGATATACACTCTGTTTAGTAAAGGGATACCCTTTTTTTTAAACTTCCAGGGGACAACTTTATATCTATTTTTTTTAATCTGTTTTGGTTTTCTAATTACTAAAAAGTGATCCTGCCATTGTAGGCAGATAAAATTTATTATTGTTACATATATATTGCAAAAGGTAGAATTGTGAGATCATGTGAATTATGATAGCTGTAAAAGTTCTGCCTGGGATGGGAGGAATGGAAAGAGTGTTTTGGGCAATCTTGCAAAGTTGTCCTGTATTGTTTTGTTTTAGAGAAATATAGTGGAGGGAAGTTGAAGTTGATTATATTATAGTAGCAGTGCAATTTATGAAGGACTAGAAGAGTGTGTGATATATGTATAGTATATACAGCGTTAAGTATATCTTGCCAGCGTTCTCTTTCTTGCTGCTTGGGGCCTCTCCTTCCCTTTGTAGAGAGTATTCTCTTTCTGTTGTGAAAGAGCTTTGTATGTATTATCTACAAGAGGAGAGCCTAGTGACGGGGTGCCAGATGCATTTAAGGGCACTTCCATGTAGCCACTGGCCTTACTCCTCAAATTTTCTGCAGCAGTTTTATAGGTACCATGATGGGAAAGCAGCATGTTCTGGCCTTAGCCTCCCTCATCTCACAAAAATGGGGTACCCCAAGCTTTTCCCCAGGACCTTCCTGCTGGGTTCCATCCTCTTACCGAGCCGTCCAGAGCTCCCTCTGCCTGGCCAATAGGAGTCACAAAAAATGGCAGCCAGCCAGTAGGCTACCCTCCTGTTAATTCTTTACCTCATTTACTTTTATGATAAGGAAAAAATGTTTTAAAAAATCTTAACCAGCACCTGGAGGTGGGAAAACTGCCTTTGGAGCAACTGAGGAAGATGGGGGATGGGGGGCAAATACTGGAAGGCCCCACGGCACTTTGACTGCAGACGGAGGGGAGAAATTCCAGGAGCCATAAAGAAGGAATCCCTGTCAGTGAGCAACTGCTCTCCCTCAGCTCCATAGAAGAGACTGCAAAATGGTTTTCACCACACTTCCAAGAGCAGGAATCAAGCCAATATCTATATGTATCCAGGATAAGCCAAAAAATGATGGTGCATGCCTCAAGATACAAACCTCAACTTTTTGTATATACAGCACGTGATTTGCATCACATCGTCGCAACACACATTCTGTCATTCCCCCCCCCCCGCTTTATCTTCCTCCCCCGCGGGTTCCCCTGCCAAGAACTAATTAGTTCAGCTTCTCAAGGTCTGCAGAAACCCCACCGCATCTTAAAGAGGTAGAGGAAGAACTCTAAGTTGCATTCCATGGTGAAAGAAAATCATGGACGGTCTAGCACTTCCTTGATTTCTCATTTGTCAGACCAGGAGAAGCTCTGTCTCAGATAGATTAAGCATCCCCTTGTTTTTCTTCACCTGATGACTGATACCTGATTGTTTAACAACCTGGGCAGCCTTTTTGGATTTTAATCATTGAGGATTTAGGCCATAGCTGGAAAGAAATTTTCTTGCTGCTCAGCTCTACCCACTGAAAAAGAAGGAGCAGATCTAAGTATCAATTCTCAAAGTCAGGCATATTTATCTGGGTAAGCCTGCTATCCAAGCTGCTGAGTCACCAGTATTACTGAAATGATAAGTCATTTTTAATTAAACTGCAACCAGATACAGAAAATGCAATTTCAGAGACAGACATGAAGTTTCCAGAACATTTGTGAAGTTTACAATTCAAATAATGTAAACATTGTATTACATCTGCTGCTTTTTAAAAAAGCAGCTTATCAGTAATGTAAAAGTAAAGTGAGCTCCAAATGCCAAATATATACACTTCTCTCCATCTTTACTGAAAAAGACAGTCCATACAGATTCCACTGCTACTCTCTACAGAATGTTCACCAGTTTTTTCAAGATGAAAGGAAGGTCTTTAACTCAGAGACACAGTCTCTGCTTTGCATGCAGAATATCCCAGGTTTGACTCCAGGCAACTCCAGGTGGGACTGGGAGAAACTGCTTTTTAAAAAGATAAGCTGCTTTTTTAAAAAATCAGCAGATGTAATACAATGTTTGAAATCCTGGAGAGCTGCAGGTCAGTGGAGAAGACTGAGCTAGATTGGCCTACTGGTCTGACTTTGCTGTAAAGCAGCATCCTATATTCTAATTTTAAAACATGGGATCCTCTTGCTGATAAACCATGTGAAGTCAAATTTGTGAACACTGCTGCCATTGTTATAGAATGATGCTAAGCAACAAAGCACACACAGAAGGAAATAGGCAGGATTGTAGTGGTATGCACTGTGTGTGCAAATAATAATCACATCCTATACTGCAATTTTTCTTTTCCCTGAGAAAACTACCTGGGGACGCTCATCATTCTTAGTGACATCTTAGGTGGCCAATCAGCACTACGTGCACCTTATTGCTGACTCAGACTTGCAGAATCATTTCATTCTGATCTTGGTCAAAGAGACAGCTTAGTTCATTTGGAATGGTAAGCAGCAAGAGTGCTTCCAACCAGCCTCATGGCTCTAATCCTTATTTTGGTCTTTGCTATTGAGAGTTACAATTTGTGTAGTGATGTCGTGAATACTATCCAAAATGTGAATTTGTTTACCTACAGAATAAGTGGGGATCATATGACCTTCCCATTGCTCCTGATCAACACCATCAGTCCAAATGAGTATGGTCATTGTTAGAGATGCTGAATGCTTTTCAGCAATATCTGAAAAGTCATGGGATCCTAATCCCTGATACTTTTTATCTAACTTACCACTGTAGAGAGTCAATCATGAACCTCAGTCTTATTTGCTAAAAGACATGGTACATAAGGAAAAGGGAGGGGGACCGTGAAGAAAAATGTTTGTGCATCAAAACCCAAATCACATCGCTCTTAGCAGCTGGGAAAGACAGTAGCCTATTTTTGGAGTAATTTATATTTATATATTTATATTTCACATTTGGCCACTGCCCATCTCACTAGGAAGTGATTCTGGGTGGTTTACAGTAAAAAGTATTAAGTACTTACTTTTACAAACTTAAAGTTATGCTAGATAAGTCAGTACAATGTTCTTCCCGGATCCCAAACACACAATAAACCAGCCATGGAAATACTTTTTAGACTATGCCTTGGAAAGAGCCTTATCTCAGCTGATCAAGTTCTATAAACTGGGAATAATATTGGCAGGTCCTGATGGAATTGTTTCATGAAGGTGAAGGTGTGAAGCAAGTGTGTTACCCATCCTGACAGAAGTGAATAGTGAACAGCAGCTCTAAGCCAACTCTTATCAGAGACATTTTTTGTTTCCTGATTGTCTTATCTCAAGCCCTACATTGATATTTTTCATACAGGGATCTATACAAGTAACAAGGATCCCATTTCTCATGGGGGCGGGATGCTCAGGACCGTGTGCAGCACTCCCCTTTCCTCTAGTCTTCTGGCTCACCAAGGCACTTCATCACTTCCCCAGCTCACCCGTTCACCTTTTGCTGGCACCATCCCATCCTCCTCTTCTTCCTCCGTCTCTACTACCCAGGTAAGGTCTTTAAACATCAATCATTAACCATTTATGCCTGATTATTCAAGCTTCAAACTCTTTCATCTCTTCTCAAATTACTCATATTCAAAAAGATCATCCTACCTTCTGGGAGATTACGTGTTTTTATGTGTTGGTTAAAAGTAAAGATATGAAATGGAAAGTAACCATGCATAACTCATGAACTGAATTTGTGGTTTCTAAATACAAAAGAAGGCATGACTGTTTCTCTTAAAGTAGGAGTGGTCAGGCTTTTCAGGGTTGAAGGCTGCATTTTTTAATCTCTTACACTTCCATGGGTGCTGTGGGGATGAGGCAGTAACATCATTGGAGGGCATACATACATATAGACTGAGTTAGTTTGGTGTAATGATTAAGGTGCTGGGCTAGAAACCAGGAGACCCTGAGTTTAGTCCTCCCATAGGCACAGAAGCCAGCTGGGTGACTTTGGGCCCAACCCACTCACAGGAATGTTGTTGTGGGCAAAATAAGAGGTGGAACATATGTATGTATGTACACTGCCTCATAAAAATAAACATAGGATATAAATCTAATAATTAAAAAGTACATTATATGGGTGTGTTAAACGAAGGGTAGGCACCCCATGATCCATGTGCCACACATGTCCTCCAGTGTCCATTTTGGGGCTCTAAGAGCACACATTCCACAAAATTCAGTGACAAAGAAAGAGAGTTCAAATTATGCCACTAAGCAAAAGCATTATCTTAGCAGGCTGAGAAAAGGGAGCTGTTCAGATAGGTTTTTCTAGGTGCTTGTTATTCTACTGA